CCATCTCAAGACAAACCCCTACCAACTGCTCAAGAGGCTCTTTGCCTCTTCATCAGAAGAGGAGCAATGGTTCCAAGGTAGGCTTCGAAAGTTAGGTAAGGTAAATCACACCTTTAGGTGATGATCAAGGAAATGAACCTAGAAGGGTCTGCGAGTATTTGTGAGGTTTAGGGTGAGAATTAGAAATGATTTTGTTAATCTGGAGAGATGGTTTCAAACTCGACAGAATGAAATACAGTGAGTGATAGGGAGTGAAGGATGTAGAAGGCAGCATACCTGGCTGGAAAGGGGATCAAGAGATGTAGGTGGCCGACAGACAAACTGTGAGTCAATACAAATAGATGTTGTGAGGGAAGCACATACTGTTCTGGGAGGTTGTCTGGAGTGTTGTACACGAAACTTGGGATAGGTGCTGCATCCAGCCCAGTTTTGCCATCATGCAAAGACAGATCCATGCTGAGTCTGGAGAAGGGCAAGAGGGATAGAAAGCATTTGAGAAAATAGGAAATGGGAAAGAAATGGGGATTTTTTTACTCCAGGAAAACCTGCAGGAATAATAGGTGTCATTGGAGAAACTTGTGGCAAAATTATTCCAGTACAGAGAAAATTATTAGAAGTCATTAAAGTTACAAGAATTGTTCCTCACATCTCCCTGATTGTTTCTGGAAAGAATAGCACCATTATGAGCTGTTCATGACTCCTTTCTGGCTGATAAGACAGTGACTGAGCAAATCAGATGTTCATTTTGGGCCCAAAGAGAGCTTTTTCATTTGCTTCCGTTATAGCAGTGGTAGAGCCCATCAGCACTTGAGTCAGGGCAGAAAAAGACATCCTGTTACGTGTTACAACCTAAACTCCACTGGGGACATCACAACTGGGATACTAGGACATCCTCTGTGTCATTCCCATGTTGCGTGAGTGTGACATGTGGGCTCAACACACAAGAGTAGCAGCGTGGATCAGTGCAAGCATTTTGGGACAGATCTGATTAATCAGCAGTGGCAGTTGTCAGGAAACATGTACAATACCTGTATGGTGCTGAGCTAGGTTAGAGTGCGGTTTTTCCAGTAATCCTGCTCTATCTTATACCCCGTAAGTGTTGAGACCTCATTCATCATCTTCCCATGTTCAGTGTTTAACTTCCATTGCAAAGGGTTGCCTGTATTCCTTGAGGACAAAATGTTTTGGAGGTGTTGTTTTTTTTTTTTTTTTTGTTCTTGCTTGAAAAGCCAATTTTATTACTAAAAATGGGTGTTTTGGAGCACTGGGAATCGTCCAGCCCATTGCAAGGGCTAATGGCAACTGTCTGCATGTCACCCCTTCCCAGTTCTTTACTGTGAGGGTGCTGAGGCACTGGCACAGGGTGCTCAAAGAAGTGGTAAAAGCCCCATCCCTGGCAGTGTTCAAGGCCAGGCTGGACAGAGCCTTGGGTGACAAGGTCTAGTGTGAGATGTCCCTGCCCATGGCAGGGGGTTGGAACTGGATGAACTTAAGGTCCTTTCCAGCCTAAACCATTCTATGATTCCTGTCCGTGTGCAAACTCCCACTGGCCACTGCTCTGTACAATCTACCTTTGGGTGAGATCCCCCTCACTTTGTGTCCCCTGTTGAGATGTCTCTTGGCTCCTTTCACAACCACAGGAGAGAAACACCCTCTTGAAGGACATCTTCTTCTGACCATTCTGGTCAGCTGACAGATGAACTAAGCCTGCTCCATCTACAGGCAGTTCAGTGGTGGCCCCATGCATCAGAAAAGAGTCACAGAATCATGAATGCTGGTTTCTTACAGCACAACATCTTTTTCTTCAACTCCCTTGTCCCATAAGCACTCGGGTGTTTTGTACCCCCGAAGTCCCCAGTGTGATGGTAGGGATGAGGAGGTCTCCTGATGGTTATTATGGTGAATTGGAGGGGGGCACACCAAACTGCCCTTTCCAGGATGACAATCATACAAATCATTAATCTGCTTTTATTTCTCATCTGATGGAGAAATTGCTTCTGAAAACAAGGTCTCTTGAAAAAACTTCCTTTGACTGATACTTGGAAGAGGCTTTATTCATGCTGTCAGCAGCAATGATCCCTGCTGATTAAATAGTGGATAGACCTCATTCTTGCCGAATTCCATGTTTTACCAGGACTGATATGTTCAACAATTAGTTCTAGGTTATATTCATAAGCAAGAGGCCAACACCAATTTTTTTATCAGCCAAAACTTCGTATTGCAGAATACTCCAAGGAGTAATTGTCAAGGTAATTCTTGTGCACTGCCAGTAAGTGCTTTAGCTGTGTTTTCAGATGTTCAGTGTCTTGCCTCTGAATGAATGGGAATGAGTTCCCACTTTACAGGGCCTGTGGTGGTGTTCACATGCTGTGTTTGGCTTGGGGATGAGGCTCTCAAACATCATTTGCCCTGTTCACCCCTGGCTGTGTAAGCCAGAAGGGAAGGTGACAGTGGTTCTCAGGTCTGGGCTGTGCTGATCTGCAGAAAGAGACAGGCTTCGATATCCTTTCCTCCTTTCACTCATTCAGAACACCCCAGCTGTGCAAATCACCCCTTTAAGAACATCCCACTAGTCCTATATGGCCATCTCATCACCTATTTCAGGAGGCAAAACACCTACAGAAGCACAGGGGAGCCTCTCACAGGTCCCACCATCCCTACTGGGATGATGGGTTTGCATCAGGGTTGACCCTCTCAAGCTCATATATCCCTACAGAGATGATGGTCCTACACCATCTCAGTGGCTATGGACTTCAGTGATGGTGGGAAATCTTTACTGGTGCTAGGAATTGCAGGCCAGACCCCACTCCTCAGTTCTGCACAGAGCTCATGACAGCTGAGAAATCCCCTTTCTACCTTTCTACTCTACCCCTGGAGTGCAGAGCCCATCTTGGACCAGATAGTTAATGTACTGTTGGTAGGACTCCAGCTTGATGGATGATGACTTAATGGTTAAGGGTTTGGACTGAAACTCCAGTTTCAGTGGCTGGCTTTGCTACCATATTTGTACATTATCTTGGGCCAGTTGGTAAATCATTCTCTGTTTTCCTCTTCCTCTGAGTAAACTGGAGGACAACTGCAATTCTTTCCATTCTTCACATCGTGAGGATGCTTTCTAGCCTGTGGACCACAATTATTCCACCACAGTAGAAAGCAAGATGAGTTTATTTGATCAACCAGAGCAAATGGTTTGCATGGCCTTATTTTATTCTCCAGTGCAATAGCTTGGAGCTAGCCCAGAAGGGGCAGCAGCCCTGCAAGTAATTACCAACATGATTTGGTTCTCCCTTATCTCAGATCACTTTGTGTATAAGGTAACTCCTATAAAGTTTAACCTGGCACTATCTATGAGGCTGGTGAACTGCAGAGCTGGGGTAAGAGGCAGGGAGTTCTTGAAGCAACTTTGCCACTGAAATGAAAGTAACCTGTGTACCTGTATCTTAACAGATGACAGGACGAAGCCAAGCAGTGTCTAACTGGAGTACAGGCACCCACCTAAGCATACCCAGAAGCAACTCTAGAATTCCTGACTGAGTTCATTTTTGGTAGGACATCCAATTATAATTGCAATAATACTGCAATGCCATGGAACATCACCTGAGATCAGAGCTCCTCATGGGTGCTGTGCAAGTGCATCACACCAGAACTTTAGGCTTAGAATGTGGTGTTTGTGATGGTAAGATGATCCCAGAACTTGTGACTATTTAGATACTAATACAACTGTTTGAAAGGCTCAAAATTTGATTTTCAGATCAATTTCTTCCTTGAAAACTAAACTTTCTTCTCAAACCATAAACCAAAAATAACAGGACAATTTCAGCTTGCTCTCTGTACCCCCCTGGTATGCAGCTGAACTTTGGGAGTGTACTACATTCCAATTCATGGCTGGGTCCCATCTTTTGTAAGAACAAGCCAGATACAAGCTCCTTCAAGCTTGAGATGATGTTTGAATTTACGGCCATTGCAGCATGGGCAGAATGCTCTGGGATTTGAACTGCAGCAAAACGGGTTTGGATTGGCATCAAGACATCTTTGTAAGGAATAAGACTAGTTAAGAGATGCAGGAAGTTGTTGGGGGCAGAGGGAGAAATTCTGCTGCTTGAGGGTTTTAAGAACTTCCATCTAGTTTCGGTAATCCTATCTCAGGGACAGTTAAGTAACTGCTGCTTGAGTTGGGAGGGTGGATGGGTTGGTTCAGAGGAGGCCATGGAGCTGCTGTGAGGGCTGGAGCAGCTCTGCTCTGGAGCCAGGCTGAGAGAGCTGGGCTGGGGCAGCCTGGAGAAGAGAAGGCTCCTGAAGGGGAGACCTTAGAGCAGCTCCAGTGCCTAAAGGGGCTGCAGGAAAGCTGGAGAGGGGCTTGGGACAAGGGCCTGTAGGGACAGGCCAAGGGGAATGGCTTGAACCTGCCCGAGGGGAGACTGAGCTGAGCTCTTAGGCAGAAGCTCTTCCCTGTGAGGGTGCTGAGGCGCTGGCACAGGGTGCCCAGAGAAGCTGTGGCTGCCCCATCCCTGGCAGTGCTCAAGGCCAGGTTGGACACAGGGGCTTGGAGCAAGCTGCTCCAGTGGAAGGGGTCCCTGCCTGTGGCAGGGGGATTCTATTATTCTATCTCCCAAGTTCTCCATGAACTACATTTTCTGAACTGCTATGTTGGGTTTTTTTCGCCAGCCTGTGTCTCCATCCTCTCCCTGTGGTGCACCATTATTTACTGGAACAGGTGGGTAATGTCCTAACCCTATACTTTTGGAGATCTGACTCCTAATCCTGCTTGGAGACACTACTGACAATATTTCAGCTTGTTAATCAATCTTTGGATGTCACTGAGGTTTGTGGTTACACCATGATCCTGTCATCCCTTCTGAAGGCAGACACGACACGGGCTTATTGCAGGCAGGGATCTTGTTGAGGCGGCAGCACTTGCCTATCTCCCTGTCTCACAGCCTCCCACTTCGGGGGGGATCAGAATTCTTCTCAGGCAAGAAAAAAGGGTAAAGAGAGAAAAATCAAATCAAATACAGTTTTATTCTTTACAGCTCTTCCATTTCTCTGGCAGACCTGAAATTTCCCCAGGGAAAAGGAAGCCTTTTTCTCTACATGGTTGTGGGTTTGGATGAGTCCTGTCAGATCTTTTACTGGATGTCGGGATCTGACTGCCTGGGTAACTATTTATGAGGAAAGACCAGTTAGGGAATGGAGACCTACCCAAGTGACAAAGTGTTAAATATGCACAAAATTCATGTAGCATGAACCAGAGAGGACCGTGATTCTTTCCCCCTGAGTTCTGTCGCTCATCAAGAGTCTTGAAATCAAATGCTCATTTTCCAGGACCTGGCGAATATTCCCTGCTCCCAAGGCTTTCTTCCATTAGCACTTGAAAACCACAGGTTCCTTCACAAGTCATCCTTGATGTTTTATAAATGTTACAGCTCAGGCATCATTTCTACCTCCTTTAATGCATTTTTCACAGCGCAGTAGAGATGGTATTTTGATTCAGGCTGCACACAGTCATCCTGAAAGAGACCTCAGTTACCTCTCTGGGCATATTTTCAAAACAGCAAATGCTGCCTAACTTGAAGGTAATACCCTCCTCGAGCACTCTGGTTTGCATATGTGGTGCAATCTCAGCTGCAGAGCTACAGGTTAGGAGCATGACGTAACCGTATGGGTACAAAACAGCTTTCAGCAGAGACCCTCTGGCTAAATTTCAGTCTTTGGATTAAAAGAGGTATTTCCTTCCAGAGAAACATCTGGGTGTGCAGGAAAAGGGGTGTTAAAGGTGCTGGGCTTAGAAATGATGCAATGAATATCGCACAAATAAGCCTTTTTAAGGTTCAGGAAGAAGCCTGACTTCAGCCTAGAAACGTAGTAAAATTTGCCCCTGTGTTTCTTCCAAGGGATTGCTAAAACCCCATCAGCTGTCTTAAAACTGTTGTTTGTTCCTCTTCTAGCTGGTTTCTGATGAGAAACAGGCACACCCTTTCTTCAGGATAAAAGTCAAGTGCAGAGATTGCCAAGTTCTTGATAGCTGTATGAAAAGCACAAGAGAGTCTGTAATGATCATACTGAACATTAAATGGGAGGGAGGAATAAAAGCAATGAGACCTGTGTTGTTTTTCTTGGGATACTTAGGTTCCTACCCAGGAAACCAGCCAGTGTGAGTCTCATCCCAGTGCATCATTCAATAAACATTGCTTTTGTGCTGGAGAAGGCAAATGGTGCAAGAGGCAGATGAACTGAATAGCCCAAATCAGTTCTTCATGGAGGATTGAGTGCTGGGATCTCTATTTTGGGTTCAATCCTCTGTTTAAGCAGGAAACAAGTCACAAAGACAATATCAAGGGGAGGGGGACAACACTGCTCATTTCTTCTGTGACAGGAGACCTGACAAGTTGCTCTAAAACATGCCTTTTGTTTAAAATAATAACTTTACTGTTGTTATTTTTCACTTATGATGATATCCAGTGGTTTTCCAAAGCAATGAACACAGTGATGAGGTTACTTAGGTTAGTTCTGTGTTTTTTTAATTCAAGGGGAGTCTTCTTCCTGGCCCAGTTGGTGTTAGCTCGGATCTGTAAAACACTCTTTAGATGAGATCTGATACAAAACAACCTCAGTTGAATGGAGTCCATCACTACAGATATGTTCTCACATTTCAGTTCCCAAACACTGGACCCATGCCACAAACAGTCAGCATGCAACTTAGCACAGAAATATTATCGTATAAATACAGACACATACTGAGCTCACCGTCTCCTTTGGTCCCGGGGGGGGGGAACTGCAGGACATTGGGTATATTGCTTTTTGAACACTGTAAGGTGTCTGAGATGCAGACATACAGTCAGAGATGGCTTTCTAGGCTTTCTCAACTTGTGTCTTTTCACCCCATGCCTGAATTTAGCATCTGGGATAGACAAAAGGAGCTTTGAATCTGATTACAGGGGAGCCCCAGAGCACAGCTCACAGACCGGGCTGTATTCTTTTCTCTGCTCCAAAACCCTGCGCTGTGCAGATGCAAAGCTACCCGAAATGCCTGGCAGCTGCCCAGAGAAGCTGTATCCTGGAGGAGTCATGGGGTTTTTACTGCATTTCCATCTTTAGCAGGAGAAAACTACTTGGAGGAGCAGGACAGCAGCCACTGCAGGCGATCGTACAGATCCATCCCACCCTGCAGCCCTGGTTTTGCTTTCCATAACTGCCTGAAATACTTTCCAGAGTTAGTTGCAGATTTCCTTATGGTTCAAATCCTTGATTTCTTTTATTATCTATGATCATTATTTTCTCAATAGTGTCTGCAAGGACCTTTCCTGCAAAGGTTTCCAGAACAAACAGAACCAAGCTTGTTCCCTCATTGGCAAGGCAAGGGTAGAAGGTCCGACTGTGACTGTCTTGACCGGTGGTCAACCGTTCAGGTTGTGGTTCAGGCTGTGGTTCAGGCTGTGAAAGAAACACCTCCGTGTCTTGATGCAAGCTAAAACTGGGTTTACTTCTGAGCACTATCCCACAGCAATGGGCAGGACAGTGACTTTGGTTGTTTAATCCAAACTCATACATAAATACAATATAAAGGCGGAGGGATGTAGGTAACATCTACATAAACTCCAAATATAGAAGTAGCTAAAGAAAGACAAATTTCCCTTTGAAAGAATATTATCACCGAGAATATATCCTGATTAAAAAAATGTTGATTCTGCTGAAAAATCTGATGACAAATAAAAGCTGACAACATGCAATTAAAAAAAGAGCACTAAGGTGGTGTCAGTTCTAACGAAGAAGGATAACGGTTATAAGCTCAGCACATTCACTTGTTGCCCTTAAGGATGCTGCAGCACCCTTGGTCAGGGTTTTTGTATGGAAAGTAAGGCAGTACTCTTGTCATTCAGACCCAAATACCGGTGGGGTGGGATCCATCTCAGTCAATTTTAGCTGTCCAAAGTCAGACCATTACTCTGGTACCTGTCTGGGCTGCCTCCAGAGCCTGCAGAGGGAAACAGAGTTCTCTGCATCTCCTCTTAGAATCATAGAATACCTCTCCTCTTAGAATCCTCTTAATACTGCTGTCTGAAATAATGAGATTAATTGCTCTCCAACAGTGCAATCTCCCTTCATGGGACCTGGACCCCTTAATCCTAAACATCTACAGTCAGTTGAGAAGAACCACAGCCTGTGCCTGCTTTTTCTTTGGCTGCAAATCCCATCTGTCCCCTTCCAGCAGCTGCCTATTTGCTTGCATTGTAAGCCCCCCCCCCAATGTATTTTGCCAGGGATGGCCCTATGAAGAGCAGGTCTTAAACAGCTTTGCAGCTTCAGCTTGTATTGTTGCTGCAGCTGACATATGCATCTCATCTGCTCCCTCTTCCATCAGTAGCTTTTCATTTTCTGCTACAATGAGGTGCCTAGTATCAGATGGCCACTGTCTCAGTGTGGGAAACAGCAATGCTTCCAGAGCAGGGATGGTGGCCTCATCTACAGTTTGGAGGGAGCCTTGCTCATACACGTGCATATCAAGCTGCATGTGGCTCCTAGGAATAGCTGAGTTCTCCAAAGCTAGAAGGGATGGTTAAAACTCTGAGCAGAGGGTGTCTTTCCCTTCATGGTGGTAGAAGGGCAAAACCAAGCTTCCCTCTCATGAACTGATAGGCTTATTTTACAACATGACAAGGTGTTTCTAATGGGAATGTCTTTTATTTACTTATTTGCCTACTATTTGGACAAGGAAGATGTAGTATTGTCACCTTAGTGTCCTATCAAAGCTACCAGGCACCTTTGCTTGAAGACAACCATACAATAGGTGAGCAGTTCCGCCCCCACACTCACAGCTCCCGAGCAAGCACTTCTGGCCTCAGCCAGTTGGTGACAAATAGACATTGATTTTCTGACCCAGTGTTTGCTCCCTGGGGAAGCTGAGCAAAGGTTATTCTCTTTAGGGACTGATTTGACATATGGCTTCTGGAAGCTGGGAAGTGTAGGTAAATCAGGGTTTATTCCTGGAGTGGTTCATTCAGGAACATAATCAGGTGAGCATACACGTGCATACCTATGGAAAGATGCCCGCAGGCCTTTTGTGAACTATGCAAGTAGCATCCACAAGGTGGTTTTTCCTACAGATGGTTCAGAAGGAAAAACCTGAATATGTTTTTTCATAATATAACATAGCAGTTGAAAACAAGGCTTAACTGACTTAAATTTTACTCATTTCACCTGAACAGTAACTCTACAGGCTGGAAACCTGATTTTTTGCAAGGAGATCTCTGCCTAGTGACTTTTGCTATCTGTTCCCACATGACCTCTCTTGAGATCTTAGCCTTTGACACAGCTCAAGGTGAGGTCCCCAAACTGACATTTTTCCTCTTTGCCTGGCAGAAGTAAGTCTGTTATTATATACCATTCAATAAGGATTTATTCTTGAACTCAATGCTTATTTCAGACTCGCTCTAAGTGGTGTTTCTACTTTTTTCTGCTGTTTCTTCTTTTTTTACCCGTGCTGTCACTGTTGTAACAGTTGACCTGATAGTTTAAAGCTGATGTAGGATGTACGTTCTTGTTCTCTTACCTCCTCTCTTCTGGATGCTACAACTGAAACACAAACTTCTGAATGTCCAGGGGTTCCCAAAGGCCAGATGGTATCCGCTTGCTATCAGAGATGTTTGCAGCTTAACACAGGGGAGAAATAATATTGGCCAGTGAGATAATGAAATTAGATTTAAACTGTGCTTTGATGAAGAATTAAACAGGGATGAAAAACACAGAAACATAGGAAGCAGTAAGAAAAAGGACTTGTTCATTGTGGTGGAAATGAAATACCATTGGCTTTTCTTTTCTGACCAAGTATTGCAGCATGGGGCTGGTGGTCTTGAGTCCACTCCCAAGACAAAACTCACCATATAGGCACTGCAAGGACATTTAGGGACTCTTGCTGAGAGTTAGCCAGGAGAAACTGGGCATCTATCTTAAGCCTGTTGCCTGGACTGCTCTTCCAGGAAAAGACATGCAGCTCTCCAGTCTGCAAGTCCTTCCGTGTGGGACCAATATCTAGAAGTGCTTGGGATCACCCTCTGGAGGTGCCTTTTTAAACATAATGACCATGTGGGCAGCCTAAATTGGCGCACTATATACTAGTGGAAGACTGCAGCAGTGACTTGGGGATGGAAGCTTGTGTGTGAAATGGTCCCAACTAATCAGAGAGTCTCTACATCACTGTCATTTCGGAAGACAACAGTTGCTACCATTCAGCCTAGAGTAAGGACACCCAATCTTTCTTGCTTGCAGGAATCAGTCTTGCTGTAGTAGAAATAAATGTCTCTGTGGGCTCATTTTACCGTGTCTTCAACAGGGAATGTGTTTCAGCAGCCTTAGATAGGTCAGTGCTAGTGTGTTCGATGCTTCTGGATAGGTGTGTGTGCATCAGGATGCAAGTGTGAATTAGGAACCTGTACCAAACCTAGGGGGTGAAATGGAGAGTGGTGGCTGAGGGATGTAGTGCATGAAAAAGGGAGATGTGGCAGCAGAGACAAGTCCCATAACGAGATCTGAGTGATGCAAAACCTTTCCTGGGGACGCCAGCACAGCCAGCTTCAGGAAAGGTGCAAAGTGAGTTTGTCTTTCCAATAAAGCTGGTATTTTCTCTCTGAATAAATAAAGAGCATGGTGTTCGCTTGCTGTGTCTGCTGAATTCCAAAAGAAAACATCCCGTTTCTTGCAGCAGAATCCTATTGGCTAAGACAAAAATCATTCCAAAAATCATTTCTTTCTTCAGAAAGTGTGGGAGTGCTTGTCCCTGCTGCTGTCAGTTCCCATCCATCCCTTTTATTGAGCCATACCAACGCATTCTCTTCCAGCCAGGACTGCTCAGCAGCACACAATAAAATTGATTCATTACTCATTGTCTTCTTATTGTCTTTCAATTGCTCCAGCTCTTGAAACCACTTAAAGTGGACATTAGTTCTTCATAACCAGCACTAATGTGATAACACTCCTCTGAGAGAGAATGTTTTCCCTCCGAGCTTTCATTACATGTATTTTCATTCAGTCTCATTACACCCATGTGTCTTTCTCATGAGTGTCTTATAATGTGTTTATACAAGTTTTGCTTTACCTGGAGGTAGACCACCATGGTAAAGAGTGAGAACACAAATGGAACATCTGGCCCAAGTGCTCTGCGGGTGCAAATGAGAAGCATTTAGTGATGGGAATTGGTTTTAATTCACAAGAGCTGGCTCTTGAGCTCTCCAGAGAAGAAAAAGCTGAAATCACTGAGAGCGAAACTCAACTCCTGTGCTCCTCTTTGGCATGAAAGCAAAACTGTTTAAACTCCGGGAGGAGCATGACTTTCTGTTTCTAATCAGCATTGAAACATGAAGATGGCAGTTGATAGCTTTGATTTGGGATAGGAGGAGGATGATTAGGGTTTCTGTATGCATAGGAAAGATTACAGCAGTAGTGAATTTAAGGTAGTTTTGAGTTTGTCTTTTGTAAGGAAAACTTCTCCAAGTTATAGCACTCCTTTAGGGTTGAATTCAAAGGTGCTCAAAGCAGTGTAGATCCAGTGCAGCAAAACCCCTACGCGCATGTAGTAATTTTGTCATATGAATAGTGACCCTATGGGGAATCCTAAGGGCCAGGATTTCTTCTTGGATTTGAGTTGGATATAGGACTCTTTTCACCTGAAGCTCCAGACCGTGGGGCCTCACAGGCTGCTTTGGTCCTGGGAGCCAGTTTTCCTTGCACTGAGGCACGGCGTGATGGGAACAGATACTCAAATGTGGGAATTACAAGTCCCAAGCACAGTTATAACATTTGTTATTTACCGTGGAGCTATGTGAGTTTCCTATGCATGTCCCTATGGTGATTTGCTCCACCAGTTACAAAGAGGATTAATATTTCAGATGCAGTTATCTCAATATATCCTAATTGAGACAGATGAATACAACCTTCATCATTTAAGGGATCAGATTCCTTTTAATTAAAGGGTCCCTTTGTTTCACAGTAACTTTAAAAGTCTTATTTATCATTACATTCTGTAGGAGTCTCTTAGGAAAATAATTTCCTGCTACTGGTTTTGTTCAGCCTTCAGATCTCCTATCTCTTGTCACCTGTAACGAAGTGCTGTAGGAAGGAGTGCTGCTGTATTGCTTTCAAGTTCTCCGTCAGCTCTGATATGGATGGTTGTTATAAAGCTTCATACATAATATATGCTGTGTCTTAAAGCAGCCCGGTAAACGGCTGTAAGGTTTTTCAACTCAACTAGCCTCCAGCTACCAGCTATAAGAAGGCATTTAAGCAGATTAGCATTCAAATTACCTGGTGAAATGAAGAATGTGGAGGCAGAATGGCCTAATGATGGATTGTTGGGCTGTGACCACTCACCTGGAAAGTCACTTTTCTGTGCCTCCAACCTGCAAGCAGTGGTGCGAATCCTTTGGAAGCTGTTCTGTAGGCACATGGGTTGCCCTCACAAGGGCACACAGGGATGATTTTCCAAGGGAAATGTTGCCCCTTTCCCACTGGGTCTGAATTTGCACTTGCTCCTTTTGAAGTTCTGCTTTTGCTGTGCAAACACCTTTGAACGACTTTTCATGCTCTGTTGTCTGACTTTCTGCTGTAGCAGAGTGCTCTGAAATAGCTGGAGAAGTGCCTTTGGAGCCTGTTCTGTCAGGAAGCATGGTCCATCCATGCCTGGAAAGTTAATTCCATGCCTGGAAAGCTACTTCTAGAGAGTCAGTTTTTTTGAAAACTGAGCTTAAAATCCAGTCTATTTAAAAGCTTGTCATGAGGAAAACCAAATTCCTTCCCTATCTTGGCTCCTGTTGTCACTTAGCAGAGGAGGAACATGAATTCTCTGCCTTGTGCTGTCACACTGATCAGATCAGGATCTGTCTTCATGGACATAGCTCACTACTCCCATCTTTCTACTCAGCAGGGCACAAGTCATTTTATAATGGAAGAACATAAGAGTTGTCAGAGACCAAAGACCTCAACTACTTAGGCATTTCGATCAATCTCTTGAGCCACATGGAGATGACCATACTGATGAAACCTATTGATGTGTGCTAATCTGGAGCTACGTCCCACGCACTTCATCAGGCTGATGGTCCAGACTGTAGACAGTCCATGGATGTAGACAGCTAATGCAAAATGACCTGCCTACAGCCAACATCTCCCCCTCTTCCTCCTTGCATGCTCTGCCTTGCTCTCCAGGTTTTCCTAGGCCAGTTTGGGCTGGTCATGATAATAGAAAAACCACTTATCCCCTGGTTATAAATAGGTGAAGCTTGTTTTATGCTTATCACAGAATTATGCTTGGAGAAACCCGGTGAAAAGGCAACATTAGGAACACTGGCAGGGTTTTGTAGATATGCTTCTTCCAAAGCTAAATAGGAGTTAAGAGCACTGGCTGTGAAGCCTTTGTTGTACTGATGGAGGAAGGTGCAACCCACCTGAATAAACCTTTCTAGCACAACCATTGACACATCCCAATTATGCAGCAGTGACATTACACTTGCTAGTTTAAGCAAAGACACTGTCACACAAGCTTTCATCCTTGACATTTCTAACTTCTTGCTTTCCAAACAGAGAATATTTGCCCTGGTCCTGTCTTGGTGGCATCTCTTTGCACTCTTTGTTTATGCTAATGTAATGAGCTGCCTTTTGTGGATCCTAGATGAATAGGATATTTCACAGACAGTAACATAATCAATTAATACTAGACTGGACCGTGATTTGGTTACCTAAACACTACTGTGAATCCAACGCTTTTCAGCAAATAGTTTTCTTGACAGGACTGGCAACATCCTTTTGATTGTAAAGAGACAAATTAAGGAACATTGAGATAAGGACTAAGAAAAATTGTCAGGATAAATCCTTCTTTCATTTTACAATATGGAACTGTAGATGCGAACAAGAAAACATGAGTTGTTTGAGCTGTTTTAGCTGAGCAAATAAAACTGAGATTCACCCTGTGCAGAGACATGTTCCTATAGACAAAAGCTTTTTTCAGAGTACTACAACCTACTCTATTCTCAAGACATCATGCACAAGAAGGTTTTGCATTTATACCTCACACTTATTATGTGAGGTGGTCCAGAAGCAAGGAAAGGAAGGGGGAGAAATTTTTCATGTTAAAATGTCATAGCTGTTGGTAGCACACCTTCCCTAGAGAAGACCCCATAAAGCCTGCCCAGTGCTAGAGACACACTGACTGCATCTACCCTGCTCGTGTTGTTTGCTGTAAGGGTTGATCTGCATCCTCCAGGCCAAGTCACTTCCATCCAGCTCATGTTCACCTTGTTCACCGTGCCATGTTCACCTTGCATTGGTACTTGGCCATTGTCTCTTCTGGGATTAACACAGAATCTCTCTGGCTCTAAGAGTTAATTTTCACTGCAAAATAACAGAAAATGCAGTCCCTGAGTGGCATTTATGTGGCACATCCTTCCCATGGGATCCTTGCAGAACCTCCTAAGGGTACTTGAGATTGAGGTTTACTGGGATGGTGTTGGAGAGCCATATAGGACAGAGGGAGGTAAATCTATCATGGGTCATGCTGCCTACAAAGGGAAATCCTTCAGATGACCCCTGAATGCACCCAGGTTTAATCTCACAGGGAACTGGTCAGTTCAATCCAAAAGCAAACCTAGGAGAAAATGAGTATTTATGGTGTGTGGCTGGTCAATACTCATGGTGTAACTGTGGCAGGAACAAGCTGCTTCCTTTCCATAGGCAAGATTTCAGGGAAGCAGGGATTACTCCTTCCTTTGGGTCTTTGGATCCAAACAGCTCCAGAGCAGAATCAGGCTCTTGCTGCATGTATCTTTTACTGTATTTGTCACTAAAACTACATCGGTGTGGTTTGATTCCCCAACGGTCCAGAGAGAGCTCCAGGGCATGATGAAAGGGAAATCCCAAACTGCTAACTCTGAGTTAACCTTAACTGTTAACCTGCAATGGATGCCATCCATTCTGCTGTGTACCCTCCAGCTTCAAATGAGAAAACATCTCACTTCACAGGGATGTACTTTATTTTCTGTTAACCCCCCTGTCTATAAGGGCTGAATACTGATGTGGGTCACCATAACTGCCATCTTCCTCATCCTCACTGACCTCCACACCCTGAACACCTCAATGAGCTGCCCAGCAGCAAGACTGAGGAAGAGGAAGAGCAGGAGAGCAGAACAAACTGTGCTGTTGTCAGCAAAAGCATTGTCTGTGCATGCAGGCTGCCCAGGAATATTAGTTTTTAAGGTATTTCTTGTCAAGAACCTGTATTCTCAAGGCTTATGGGTTATCAGAGGTGCAGGCGAGACCTATGAGCACATGGTGCTTTTAAAAGAGATGTGGCTTTAGGAATATTTATCTCAGGAGGGAATAGATCCTGCATAGCTGTATCACTGGAGAGTGGAGAAAAGGGATGGAAGAGGAGAGGGGCCACACGGTTTGCTCTGGAGTAAAAGGCTCATTGGGTTGGCAAGGCTCAATTATAAGGGACAGGATACTGGCATTTGCATCAGTGAATTGTTCAAGCAGTTTACAAAGTTTACTACTCCTCTCTTCATTGTGGAGATGGGAAACTGAGGCACGGGGGCTGCCACTTGTCAGAAGTCAGCCAATTTAGAGTAAAACCAGTTACCTGTAGGCAGGACCAAAGGGGCACGTCTGAAATGAGATCAGAAAATCCACTTCATGAAAACCCCCTCTATTTACTTCTTTATTTATTAACCCACAGCTATGTCTTACTCAACAGAGTCCTTGTAAGGAAAGTATTTATACACCTTCCATCCTCATCCCTGAGTTACTCAGTCCTGAGCTCATTATAACCTTAAATATGTTACCTATTACCTTTAATGGCATATTGTAGACTCCTCCACTCATACCCACTCTTGTTAAATATGCTGAGCAACATGGCAGTGAAGAAATAGAAGTGTCAGCTCCTTCAAATTAAAGAATCAATTATGCTCTTAGGGGCAGATGGAGATTGAGCTGAATACAATGTACAGTTACACTGTTGTGGAAGCCGGGGCCTTTATGTGCAATTAGTGGTATTTCATTCTTAATCTTCCTCCTTAATACAGAAGAAGCCATTAAAGGGAAAAAGCCATTCACAAGCCCATTTCAGAGTCAGTTTCAGAGAGATGCTTCCAAATGCATGATTTTAATCTTTGGTTTTTAAATAAAATAAATTACTTATATACTTATTCCCATAGGAATTATCTTACTCCCATTAACAGGGATGCCTCACACCAGACCATGCCACCCAAGGCTTTGTCCAACCTGTCCTTGAACACTGCCAGGGATGGGGCATTCACCACCTCCCTGGGCACCCTGTGCCAGCTCCTCAGCACCCTCACAGGGAAGAACTTCTTCCTTATATCTAACCTGAACTTCCGCTGTTTCAGTTTGAACCCATCACCCCTTGTCCTATCACTACAGTCCCTGGTGAAGAGGGACTATGATACAGAATTCACTCAAAGTGGGCTAACTGCTCTCATCTCCCATCAGGGTGCTGCAGCAGTGATGAGTAATGCAGATGTGTGGCACAATTGACAGTTCTTAATATGATGTGAGCTCCTGGTCATCCTTGTCCATCAGAGGTTTTGGTCTTGTCTGGCCATTATGGAGATTCCTGCATAAAAGGGAAGGGAAATGGAGAAGTTACTTGTTCACCATCACAGAGTTGGGCAGAAACACCAGTATGAAATGAAATCTACAACCACAGCACCATGCTACCCCAGATCTGAGGTCTAAATACATTTCCATTACTACAGCCTTTATGTGGGACTGCACATCTGTGTGCAAGGTGTCACAGCTCCTCCTGCCTCAGTTTCCCCAGCCTCCCTTCCCAACACCAGCCTGTAGAAGCTGGATACATTAACCAGGAGTTGCTTTCCTGCCAGTAAACACTCAAAATAAATAAGGATGTTCATCAGTGGTGGAAATAAGCAAGTTCTTGATAGGAGAGTGGATCTCTTCCATAGTGCAGGCATGATTGATAAGACTCATACCTACGAGCCTCAGTATTGAACCTCAGCACTCTGATTTATTGGATATAACATGTGCTTCCTTTCCATTTACTGCTAAGGTGAAAGAGCTATTGTTTAGCACTGAGACCACACTTTCTAGGCATTCTTAAGCTGCAGAGATGATGCACTGGCTCAGGTTTTCTGGTTAATGTTAAATCCAGTCATTGCCCATCTGCTGAATAGTCACAACCCCTGCACAGCGATTTCTGATCAGAATGAAAGTTGGTAAGTAAGCTGCAGTGAAAACTTGATGTGTGGGTCTCCACATGTTGGGCAGGGATCTGCAGGTCAGCTGGAGGCCACAGGGATGCTTGTCCCTGATACTACCCATTTAAGAGGCCATGGTATCCCTTGTGTATCCCTGCAGGATACCTCTGCAATCACTGCAGAGGAAGAGGTGCAAAGCAGTGTCTATAACCCTTTTATGAATCCCAATTCAAAGTTCACAGCATTTAAGAAGCGGGACTTTTACTGAGAAGTGTAATGAGGGAGTTTAAACCTTGCGTTAACTTCACTTGTGCTGAACTCTCCTTTAGATCATGCCGTAACCACTTGCCTTCAAAATGCCCGGCACTCGATGGTAAATCGGACCAAAAACGGTATCTGCAAAATGCAGGTTAAATGTGATATCCCTCTCCAGGAGATGGCACTGTGAAACTAGTCTTTCTGCATCCTAATGCCAGCTTCCAGCCACCAACTTCTCCCTGAGTTAGGGCTGATGAATAAAATGAAGAGAAAGGTAGGTGAGAGCCCTGGTCCCGAGACTGGCATGAAGTAAAGGCTCTATGGTGTCTTTTCATCTTGTAAGGGGTGATTAGAGGGTGGGTTGAATACTGGAAGACTTAGAAGACAAAGGCCATAGTTTGTTGTATGGAGGGGAGAAAATGCAGAATAGCTTCACTATGACTCCAGGAGCAATTCCACAGAGGCACAAGTAATAGCAGCTGCATTTGGCGATGGAGGTAGCCCTAGATGATGCCCTGTGGGTGTCTTTTCTGGCACCTAGTTCCTGTTAGACAGTGTCCCTGCTTCAGCTCATACGTTGGATATCTCTAAATCCCAAAATACACTGGTGCAGCTGCACAGCTTTGCTCCTTTTTGCAGTGGATCACATCTTGATCCCAAAGCACAAGAAATGCACATCCATCTGCAAATCCTATAATGCCCCCCAGGACATTTCCCTTCTGATGCCAGGAAAAAAGGGAGAAATTGGGAGTGTTAATGCAGTAACATCTGTGTGTGTGCATGCTTGTGTCTCTTTGTGTACGAGACCTTTTTACATCCCCACCTCTCCTCCTGAAGATGACAGCCTGCAAAATAGGAAAAGTTTGATGTATTGATAATCTGTCCCAGAGGTCAGGAACTGCTGATACCTGATGTAAGGTAACGGCACTCTCTGACTGTCACTGGGTTGGACATGTTTCTCCTGTTCACCTATGGCAAACTTGGGGTGTGAACAGTTATGCCCTTTGGGGGCGATCATCAGAGGCAAGGACAGATGGATGACTATTGCAGCTTGGGGACCTGGTACTCGGGTAAATCTCTTCCTTTGTCAGTGCTATTTGCATAGAAGTAGGGTGTTTTTTTTATGTTAAATGCAACAAGAACAAGAAATTTCAGATGTGAAACTTCTGTTGCAAACTTGAAATGTAAGTTTGGGCATCATGTAGCTGCCAACAGATGAGGCATTCAACAGCACAGTTAGCAGTGATAATGTAGCCAAGTTGCTTTTGATCAGTGGAAGATACAACCCTGAGAACACAGAACACTGCAGCTAAAGCTGGAGCTACCCTCAGTGTGTTCTTCTCACCAGGGATTAAATCCATTTTGTATCCTGAGATACTAAACCAGGACAATTCAGTATATCTCAAAGAGCTTTCTTTTTCCCAGTGATGCTCTAAAAGGTAGCATTAAAACAAAATCTCTCAGCTATTACTGCATTTCATGTCCACTAAACCAATTTGTATTCTCAGCTGTGAGCAAGATCCAAAATCTTTGCTGCCAACAGGAGCTGTTACAGTCATCTTCAGATCAGACCTGATATAAATCTGCACCTTTTCATTCAGACATGAAAGTCTTGTTGCAGCAGCCACTTAGAAGACATTCCAAAGGGTTTTTCTTCCTCAGCTTTGATTATTTTAATTTCTTTTGAATCCACCTCTTTGGACACCATCCACAGAGCTAATTTAGATCACAAACTCTTTGGACAAGGATAATGCTTTCTTCTAGATCTTTATGCACGGGGCCAATTGCACTATCAGTGCTTCAGAAATAGCCTGTAAATAATAGAGGCCAGGACAGAGAAAACCAAGACCAAGAGGGAAGAAGAAGCTACAGAGAGGTCAGTGGAACCAAAGCTCCTGCAAAGAGCA